CGGCGTTATTGTGTCGTCGGCTTGTGCGTGTCGTGCTTGCTGACATTCTTTCTTTTGCAACGACAGCCACCACCACGACACAGCAGTGGAAGCAGCACATGGGCTGAGCACCCGGCAACGCGTCTGGTCGATCCTACCTCCTCCCTCCCCAACGCAGAACCATCAAAGACGCACCACCATCACCAATGTAAAGACACCAGCCCATGGGCGATGCCGCCACGTTGTTGTTTCGCGCTAGAGTGAGAAGTCGACGCGATCAGCCATCGGCACCGGTCTCTTCTCTCTTTCGCTCTCTTCGCTTTCTTTTCTCCCTCTCTTTCCTCTCTTCTCTTTAGTCGAAGGTCTCGTCCTTTCGGGCGAGGGCGGCGTTGATGGCCTCCTTGGTGAGGGTGGCCAACGCGTCGGCTTCCACCTCGACGTTCTTGACGTAGGCGCAGTACAGGCCCCATCTGCCAGCGCCGCAGTCCTCGATCGACTCCGCCTGCTTCTCCACCTTGTGGACGAACGTGTTCATCTTCAGCTTGCTCGCGATCGTCTGTCGTTGTCCTCGCAGCCGTTAGTTGCAACACACGACACACGACACGCACGACACGCACGACACACGACGAACCTGATAGTCGATAAGCCAGGGAGCGCCGTCGGAAAAGCCCTTAGGGCTGAGGAGCGTGTCGGCGCCGGGCGCGTGGATCACGATCATGGAGGAGGTGCGCGGGAGGAACCACAGGTGGGCCAGACCCGAACCGTGTGTGCCGATCAGCACCGTCGTGCCCTGCATGAGGCTCACCACCTCCCTGGGCGTCAGCAGCTCCATCGACACCTGCGGTGGGCCACAAACAAAAAAGGTCAATTCAGTTTATATAATCGAAAAAATGAATTAAATTAATGAATAACAGAAATAATATAAATGAATAAATAAATACCTGAAAGACGTCGGCGTCGTTTCGCAGGGCCGAGCGGAGGTTCTGGAGGAGTGTGTCGCTGTTGAGGATCGTCTTGTCCTTCGTGCGACGGATCAGGACCACGCGCGGCCGAGTGGGCGGCGAGTCGGGCGACGGCGGAGCGTCGTCGCCGCGCATGGCCTCGGCCGGGACGGCGAAGGTGGCCGCCTGGCGGGTGGCGTGCTCGAGCGGCTGCGGGACGCCGAACACGCCGAGCAGGTACTTGCGATAGGCGACGAGGGTGCGCTTGGACGGCGGCGGGAAGATGGGGAACTGGTCCTTCATGATGATGATCTCGCGAATGCAGAGGCCGTCGATCACCTCGGGCGGCTGGGAGGACTTGAAGTCGATCGGGTGGTGCTCGACGATGTCGCCCAGCAGCATCGAGGGCTGCACGGAGTTGGGGAACACCATGCGGATGTAGTCCTGGTTGCTGGCTCCCCACCGCTCCAAGAACGAAATCCTGGGTGACAGACCAACGATCAACGACCAACGACACGCGTGAGGTGCACAATTCAGCGCACACGTGGCCACGGCACACGGGTTACCTGAAGGGCGTGTTGAGGCGGCCGGTTTCCTTGAGCGCCATGTACATCGCATACAAGCCCTGGAACACACGCACACGCACGACATACAACGACGGCGACGACGAAACGAGGTGAGTGCGTTCAGTCTCGGTTGGACGCGTGCGACACAGTAGTTTGCGACGAAAAACGAACCTCGTGCAGGTTGCCCATGCTCTCGCTGTGGAAGATGTAGATGTAGACCATCGTTTCGTTCACACTGCAGGACGCAAGTCAGTGGTGTATATCTTGCATTCTCAAACGTGTGTGTCGAGTGTGTCGTGCGTGTCGTGTGTGCCGTGTGTTGGAGGGACAAGCGTGGGCGGGTGCACGTACGTGGCCGTGCATTGGAGCTCGGCCTTGGTCCGGCTCAGGATGAGTCCCTTGGCCACGCCGGAGCGGTCCATGCGCACGGGCATGTCCACCGTTCCGCCGCCGGCCTTGACCTCCTTGTTGGGCATGTCGCGGTGCCACACGTAGCCGGTCGTCGTCACCACCATGTCCAGGTCGCGCACCCAGACGTAGCCCCCCGTGGCTTTATATCTGGGCGAGAAAAGCAGATTTTGAGATTGGAATGGATGGATTGATGAATGATGTGGCAATGGGAGGGCACCTGTTCAGCATGGTGCTGTTCGATTTGGAGGTCCGGGTTTTGGTGATCGTGCCCAGAGTTGAAGATAAAGAAGTAGAGGGTGGAGCGGGCGGTCTCTCTGGCGGCGATTGGAACATGGAGCAGTTGAGGGCGAGCCATGGCGGCACCACCACGACCACGAGAAGCAAAAAGAACACCGTCACGTTCATGTTTCCAGTCTCCCCGTCCAATCTCTGTCTGATTTTCTTTCCCTTTTATCTTATTTTGTCCATTTCACACCTCCATTTTTAATCAGAATAAAAAACTAATAAATCGAAAATCAGAGAGAAGTAGAGATGGGCAACAGCTTGGAGCGGCAGGGGGGTGATGGTTCACCCTCGCAGGGCTCAGCTTCGCCCACAAGGCGAGCAGCAGCCGCGCTCACTTCATCATGGAGACACAGCAGTCCAGACACCCCCACAAGAGGTAGCCCCTGCAAGTAGGAAGAGCAGCTCTTCAATCGCATCTTCCCTGTACGCTTCCACTTCCCTCGCGCCCCCATCTCCATCATCTTCCCAACAAGAACACGCACATCGTCGACATCATCGCTCGCAGCACCGCCAGAATCGAGAAGAGCCAGGAGGAAACCTCACCCCTTCGTCATCTCCTCCATCGCTCGATGCATCGTCGCCGTTTCATCCGCATTCCCACACCAGCGCCGCATCTTCGCCAGCGCAGTCACGCGAGGGGTCCATCGTGCTAGAACCCTTCCCCTCCACCCCGCCCGGCTCGTCCCTGTCCGCCACCCCTACCACCTCCTTCCACGCCCAGTCCCTCCTTGCCACCCTGCCCGCCACCGTGCTCGCCCGCATCTTCTCCTCGCTCTCCTCCGCCGACCTCCTCCGCTGCGCACTCGTCTCCAAGGTGCGTGTGCCCGTGTGTGCCGTGTGTGTCGTGTGTGCCGTGTGTGCCGTGTGCCGATTGATTGATTGTTGTGAGTGCAGGAGTGGCTGGTGCTGGCGTCGATGGAGGCGTGGTGGGAGGAGCTGGCCCTGAACGAGCTAGAGACTCCCGGGCTGGTGAGCGTGATGCTGCACGAGCGCGCCGAGCTGCCGCACCTCACCCACGGCTCGTGGCGCGAGCTCTACTGGAAGTACCGCCGGAAGGAGGCCCTCACCCTCCACCCGCGCGTCGTCGCCGTCTACGACTACCGCGCCCGCACCGAGAACGAGATCGACGTCAAGCGCGGCGAGGTGCTGCGTCTGCTCGCCAAGGACCACGAGACCTGCTGGTGGCTCGTCCAGCGCACCTCCGACAAGGCCGAGCCCCCACAGCCGCCAGCCGCGCAGCAGGAGCGAGAAGAAAGAGAAGAAGAAGGAAAAGAAAAAGAAAAAGAGCTCAAGGAAGAGGAGGAGGGAGTGGCGAAGACGAAGGAGACGACTGAAGGTGAAGAGGAGGAGGAGGGGCAGGGGCAGCTGGAGACAGCAGCCGGCGAGCCAGGACTTGATGAAGAGCAAGACGACAACAGTGAAGCGCAGGCCAGCGCCGATGATGAACGCGTCGCCGATGTTACGACCGACGAACAACAACAAGAGCAGCAGGTCGAGGAGGAGAAGCGCGGCGACGATGGTGGTGGTGGTGGCGCAGTGGTCGAGCCCGAGGGTCGTAAGCCGGCGGCGACGATCGGGTGGGTGCCCTCGGGCTACCTCGACTATTGTCCGCGGAAGCCCAGCGCCGCGCGCGCTCGCCGTTCCGAGGCGGCAGCGGCGGACGCGCAGGACGCGAGGCAGCTGCAGGAGCGTAACAAGAAGGTGCCGTTCATGGTGCGCGCCAAGTTCGACTACGTCGGGGCCAACGCGCAGGAGCTGAGCTTCAAGAAGTACGACCTGATGGCGATCGAGCTGCACCCCAGGGAGAAGTACCCGATTCCGTTCGACGCCAGCGAAGACGACGATGGTGACGATGGCGACGGTAACGGCGAGCAAGCGGCCATGGCCGCCGCGGAGAGGGCCGACGCGACGAGAGGGCAGTGGTGGAAGGCCTCGCTCACCCGCCGCAGCACCACCGGCGGCACCACCACCGTCAGCGGTTGGATTCCCGTCAACCTCGTCACCGAAGAGGTAAGAGCCCCGCTCGACCGCACACGGACCACGCACCATGCCCGCCGTATTGGCTGACATGCGCTTGTTCTGCTTTTTTGTTGGGCTGGTTTAGGTGACGCACGTCATTGCGCTGTTTGACTATGTGCCGGTGGACGAGGAGGAGCTGCCCCTCAAGAAAGGACAGCGGGTGGCCGTCCTCGCCACCGACGAGAACCGGAAGGGCTGGATTTACGCTCAAGGTGCCCCACCCCGACCGACGTTGATTATGTGACCGCCAAGGCTAACGCAGCTTGAATTGCGTGTAACACACACACGACACACGACAGGAAACGGCAGGCGAGGCTGGCTCCCCGAGAACTACGTCGTGGACGATGACGACGCCTGAAACGCTGGCCTTGTGTGCTCTTTTGCGACTGGTATGCAAACTGCAACAATATTGGCTTCATTTTGGTTCGAAACGTGGTCGATCGTCAGTGGGTGTGGGAGCAGAGCGGGGTGGCGGTGTGCGAGTGTAGGCAGGCCAGCGAACAGTAGTTGCCCCGCAGCAGCACGGCGTGGTTGCACAGCTGGGTCTCCCAGATCCGTTCCGCCACTCCGTCTCCAAAATACAGGCCCGTACCTTAGCACACAAGCGCGCACGGCGCACGACACACGCGCACGTCAGTACTTACGCCTCGACGTCATTTCAATGAGCGACCGTCATACATTGGGCGCATTGTCGGCCTTCGCACCGCAGCAGCTCCTTCAGCTCCTCCGGGATGTTGTGTCGCTCCACACTCTTGCCCTCGAACATCTTCAAGACTTGCCCTGCGCGAGTACCATCATCGTCAGCCATCACCACCATCACGACCATCATCAGCGAAGACATCAGCAACGATACCTGCGACGATGTTGAGGAGGCTCTCTGCGCGGTGGAAGGTGCCGAGCCGCTGGCGCGGCTGGCCCGGCCGCTCGTCGGCGGTGTCGATGGCGTCGGCCGCGAACTCGGTCAGCGAGCCGGCCAGCCGGGTGAGGCACGAGGGCAGCGTGACCAGGTCCGGGTTGCCCCGCACCATGAGCGTCGCGAGGCGCCCGAGGCCGGCCATCTCCTCGGGCAGCGCGCGCAGGTCGTTGTCGCACAGTGACAGGCACAGGAGGTTGGGCAGCCGGCCCAGCTCGCGGGGCACGGTGCGCAGTCGGTTGTGGTCGAGCCGCAGGCCCTCGAGACTGGTGGCGCGGCCCACCTCGGGCGGCAGCGAGGTGATGCGGTTGCGCTGGGCCGTGACCCACCGCAGGTTGGGCAGGCAGGTGAAGAGCTCGGGCGGCAGGGCGGTGAGCTGGTTGCAGTCGAGGTACACCACCCTCATGCTGCAGAAGAAGCACGACAGCCGCACATCTGAGCATATGTTGTGTTCATGCGCCAGCGCTCGAGGCGAATTTGTAGAGGAAGATGAAGTAGAAGAAGCAGAAGTAGAAGACGACGGCGAAGAAGAAGTAGTAGAGGCTGGCTCTACGCTGCGATGCTCGAGAAATCGCTGCTCCCATCGCTGGCGCTCGATGTCGGCGGCGCTGGGGAGGAGGCGCAGGTGGTCGCAGGTGAGCTCGTTGCTCTCGAGGTCGAGCAGAGACAGGCCGGGGAAGCTCTCCAGCAGCTCCTGCAGCAGGTTGGGGCTGTGCGATAGCTGGTTGTCGGCGAGCCACAGGCCCGACACCTGCACGCTCGACGCGGCCTTGAGCCGGTCGTAGGGCAAAGCCCTCAGCGCCAGTCCTGCGAATGGTGAGGGAATGCTATATGAGCTGAACAAGGTCTAGTGTGGTACCTTGAAGATGTAGCTCGTCCCGGTTGTTAGAAGCCGACTCGAGACGCAGGGATAAGGGATCCACGTTCATGTTGCAGTTCGATCACAGTCGATGGACTGACGAAGTCCGCCCAAACCAACAACAAGACTCGCAGTCATTCCAGCACGCCCGAGCAGGAAAGGGTGAAGGAGATAGGGCGAAAGGGTGCGGCCTGCGAAGATGGAAAGGCCGAGAGAATAGTCCGAGGCGCTCAGAAAAGGCGTGGAAAAGTCCGATTGGACGTGACATCACGGCCCAAGGTGGTGCCGCGTTCTGTGTGGCTCAAACGGAGAGTGGCGGGGCCAATCGCATTTTATTGTGGACGCCCAAAATCGCGAGAACGAAGCGATAAGGCGGCGATCATGAGGAGAATAGTGTGAGAGAAGGCCACGCGCAAGTGTACGCCACTGCCGGGTTGGTGCTACGGCTACACCCGCACACCCTCTTTCTCGAGTGGCCAGCGACGCGAAATGAAGGCCAGGGGTGGGGGCATATCAAGGCGATTTTTCTCGCCTTTCTTCTTCACCCAACTTCGCCAGTACCGAGCGCATCTCCTGCCCACCACACCCATCCAGTAACCCCCACCTCAACACTCAACCACACTCGGTACCCTCGCCCACACGCCACGAGCCATGCAGGAGAGCTCAACTTTATTTGCCTCTGCTCTGGAAAGCTAACTTCGACGATGTGCTGGGGTGTTGCCAAACAGAAGATGAACTTCACCATGGCTTCGCAGATGAAGGCTGGCAAGATTGCCAAGGACGCTCGCTCGTCGCAGCAGACCACTGTCCAGAAGGGCTCTGGTGGCAAGCCCCAGGTGGGCGCGGACTCGCTCTCCATCGCCAAGGCCACCTCGGCCCCCAAGGTCCAGTCGGGCTTCGTCGGTGCCCACAAGGGCGACTCCCGCACTGCGCCCAAGAACGCCTCCAGCTTCACCAACGACCGCCAGGTCGACGCCGGTGAGTTCGAGTCCAACGCCGCCCCCTCGTCGGCCGACACTGCGGCCTACAGGACCGACCGCGTCGGTACGCCAACCCCCCCCCCCCAAGCTGCTTGTTGCCCATGAAACACCGCAATTGATTGCAGGGTGCGGACTGGGCTGTTGTTATGCGATGACTTACCCACTGGATTGTCGACATGTTTCCATACCACCAGGCGAGCTCCAGTCGGGCGAGTTCGCGTCTGAGGCCGCTCCGTCGCAGGCCGACACTGCCGCCTACCGCAGCGACCGCGTGGGAGAGCTCCAGTCGGGCGAGTTCGAGTCTGACGCCGCCCCGTCGCACGCCGACACTGCCGCCTACCGCGCCGACCGAGTGGGCGAGATTGAGCACTACCAGTAAGTAGTGGCTCTGCCTCGTCGAGTTCCTCTTTCCTCCCCGGCCCATCGCTCCTTGTTCCTCACCGGCCGCCAGCTACGAGTCTCTCCTCTTCCTCGGTGGGCTCCTCCACAACGAAGCACAACAAGTCCAAGAAGAGGGTTGGTCCAGGCCGAGGCGAAGGGCGAAGTGAAGAGGGACTCGTTTGTTGTAAAGCTCTTTTGTTGATTTGTGACTTCCTTCCCTACTCTCCCTATTTATCATCGACGCTTGCTTCCTCAATAAAAGGGCGACAGCCTGTACAACTACACTCTGGGATGGTGAGAAAGATGAAGGATGGAACTGGACTAGGCACAAACAAGCTTTATTGATTGCGAGAAACTGGGGAGTGTCACAACTACCCCAAGGAGGCGAGGCCTCACCGGTACGGGGGTGGGCAATGCGCAGCAACACGAATGTCGCTGGACGTAGTGGGCTAACCCAAGGGCAACGCAGGCCGTCAGCGGTCTGTTGAACAAGTTGGAGATTAGCGCACAGTGCCGGAGGACAGAGAATGTTCGTTGAAGGGCGTATTTGATCAGTCTTCGTGTTGGTGTTTTCACGATAAAATCAAAAATTCTAGAGCAATTGTTTACATCATTTAAATTCTAATTAGGCGAGAGGATAGAAAGGAGCGTACCAATCACCATCGGCCCAAATCAGTCGGACAGGCACTGCGTGGCCGCTAGGCTGGGCATGGTTCACTCAGCAAACAGGATTGGAATCAGGTCATACGCGACATCTTATCCTGCGCAGTGTGGTGGGCGAGACAAGACAAAGCGATGGTGGAAGAGAAGAATAAGAAAAAGGATTTTGCTCTCGCCCAGCTGCCGCGCATTCCGATCGGTTGCTCCGTGGTAAAGGAAAAAGAAAATAAATGAAAATGATTTAGCGATCTGGGCTTTCGGCGGACGAGAGACAACCCACGCCATTCTATCATCGATTCAGAGAGCTGCAATGTCGTACAACCAGCTCTACAAGCCCCTTGTGGATGATCCCGAAGCGGGTGGGTCATCCTCTTCGAGTAGCGGCCCGGCGGCGCCGCCATTGCGGTCCTACGCGCCCTCTGAATCGAAATGCGCGAAATTGGGTGGGATCATCGAAAAGATCTTCTGCTGCTGTGGACTCTGCCAACGATTGCCGTGCTGTCCGCCCCTCAAGAGAGGATGCGCCGCCGTGGGGGCCAAGTGGCAGCGATTGAAGGCCTTCCTCTTCCAGAGCTCGTCCGTGTGCCACATGGCGTGGCTCGTCGTCTTCCTCCTCGCCCTCATTATCTTCGCCATCCTTATGGCAACCCTCCTCTCCAAGGTCGACGATCCCTACAACTAGGCTCGTTTCATCTTGGGGAAGAGCTGAGAAAGAGGAGAGGAGAGATTGACGCGAACGAGGATGCGGCGGCAGCACACTGTACATTTTATTTTTCGCCTGTATTAATACACCACCCACATCCACATTCAAAGAGCACCGTTCAATCGTTCATTCATCACTTCGTGATGCGCTTCGCGATAGTGTTGGTTTTAGCGCTAAATTTTGTTTTCGCCGCTCTTCGCGCTTTCTGGGCCATTGGTCCAGGCGGTAATTTATCGTGCCAGTCTCGCACCAGAGAAGCGCAAACAGCTCTTTCTTTCCCTTCTCGCACCCTTCCGAAGCTTCCTCGTACGCGCCCACCGGCCAAGCATCTTGTTGCTACTTCTGCTTGAGCTTGGATAGCATCCAAGAGACATATTGAATTAAATTGTCTTTTCGATTGATTTAATTTAGATTTTGAAAAGAAAATCAAAAGATTTACATCCGTGTAATTGATTTGCTTTGATTCTTGTTTGTGCGTGTGGGCAGGAAAAAGCAAGGAAGCAAAAGCATGCATCAATCCAACTTGCGTCTGGTGCTGGCTGGTCTCGCGGTGTACGCGGTTTGGGGCACGCCGCAGGCAACCCTGGTCTACCTCGTCCTCGGCCTCCTCTTCGCCTTCTGGTTCTGGTGGGCCTCCGCCGGCATGCCCATCCGGAGGAAGGCACGTTACTCTCCACTCCGTGCGTGTGCGTCGTGTGTCGTGCGTGCCTTTGTGTCGTGCGTGTTGCGCGCGCGTGTGGTGCGTACGTGCGTTTGCATAAGCGCCCAAGTTCTGACGCTGGGGCGTGGTACGTTTAGCTCCAAATCGCCACGTGGGGCGAGCCCAGCGAAGGAAGCATCCACGCCAAGATCTCCCTCGATGCCACCAAGGTCGGTCTCTCTTTCTCTCTCGTTCCAATCTTCGCGCCCACCTCTCATGGTTTGATGTGTCGTGTGCGTGTGCGTGTGTGTGTGTGTGCGTGTTGGGCAACCTGCACAGGTCCAGAAGTACATCGACGAAAAGCGAAAAACCACCAGACAGCACATCACCATCACGCACGTCGTCGGCAAGGGTACAGCACGCACTGAACAAAACCGGCCGAACATACGCTGCTCATTGATTATGCCGCCATTGTTGCGGTTGCGGCTGTGGTGTTTCTCATTCAGCGCTTGGTCTGGCCCTGCGGAATGCTCCCGGACTCAACGGTCGCATCGTGTTCGATCGGTTCCTCCCCTTCAAGGTTCGTCACAGTTCGTTCTGTCCGTCCCGCCTGGCCCGCAGCAAAGTCGATGGCGCTCGCTTGGCTGCTAGCGCTGCGGCCTCAAGGCCGTGGCATGAGCTCATGGAGGCATGTCGGTTGGTGTCCGCGCCCGCACAGACAATCGACATCAGCTTCCTCGCGATGGTGGAAGGCGGCAAGAACCTGGCCAAGGTCAAGGTGAGCAACATCGACAAGAAGGGCGTGGACCAAGTCGCCACCGAGCTCGATGCCGGCAGCCAGCGCCTGCGCAAGGTACACGCCTCCCCACCCACCCACCGTTGCTGTTGACACCGCACGCACGGCGCGACACAACGACACGCGCACTCACCGCACGCGCCTCGCCCCCCACATAGGGTACCGACGAGAACTTCAAGAAGAGCATGGGTCCGCTCAAGCTGCTCCCGACCTGGCTCATCAGGCTCGTGGTGAACACGGCCGCCTATGCCGCTGGCGCCCTGGGCCTCTCCATCCCCGCGTTGGGTACCACCTCCCGTCTTTTTTCTTCTTCTTGGGCCGGCCCTCGAACGCAGGCCGGGTACGTCTGACACGATGGCGCAGGCGTGGAGCCTCACCCGTTCGGCTCGTGCATCATCACGTCCGTGGGCATGCTGGGCGTTGACGAGGCCTTTGCCCCCTTCACGCCCTTTGCGCGCGTTCCTCTTCTCGTACTCATCGGTACCGAGCTCGTTCCTCCGCGCCCGTCAATTGTGAGTGCGCCGGCGCCTTCACCTCCGGCTAACGATTGATTGGGTTGCATTTGCGTTGGTGGTGGCGGGGGGAGCAGGAGCGATTCACGAGGGCGTCAAGGTGGAGGACGGCGAGACCAAGGTGACCAAGAAGCTCAAGCTGTGCTGCACCATCGACCACCGCTTCCTCGATGGCGCTCAGGTCCCCCCCCAAACTTTGCTTTTGATCGCTACTGTGTGCGGTGCTGATGCTTCATCTGATTGTGTGTGATGTGGGTTGATAGGGCGGAGCAATGGCCAAGGTGCTGCGCGATGTGTTCGACAACCCGTCCATGCTCGACCAGGAGTGATCGTGTGCGTGGCTGACTGCCCGCGGTTGGCCCAAATGAAAGAGAAACCGTTTTATTTTATTTTCCTAAACACACACCCCCTGCGTCAGAGGACGGAAAGAAAGCACAAAAAGATAATTCTTAGGAAGACTCGTAGCCGACGGCGATGATGACGCCGGAAGCGTCGGAGGAGACGTAGAGGCACTCCCCGAACGCGACGCAGCGACCAATGTCGAGGCCAACGGGCCTGTGCGGCCAGTTGTCACCTGATGATGTTGGGAGATGAGAACATATGGCGCGCCAAGGGAGCCGCAAAGGAAGCCTGTGTGTGCGTGTGTGTGAATGTGGAGTGCGCACCGGTGTCGCCGGGTCCCTGGTAGGCCAGGAAGGGTTCGTATTTGATGGGCATTCCGTTCTTGTCGAAGAACACGTGCAGCACGCGATAGCCCACCGGCGGGTTTCTGTTCCAGGAGCCGTGGGCGGAGATGAAGGCGTCGCCGTTCAGGTCAGCCGGGAGGCGCGAGCTGTTGGTCTGATTGGCGATTGGTGGCGGAGTGAGCGCCTGGTTCGGACATTAAAACAAGACATTCGTAGATGATGGTGGGAGAGAGAGGCACCCTGTCGTAGAAGAAAATGTCGAGCGGGGCGTAGTGGGCCTGCAAGTTGAGCCGCGGCTTCTGCACGTTGTGTGGGTTCTGGCACCAAGCATCCCTAGCTCGTGTGTCGTGTGTCGTGTGTCGTGCGTCGTGTGTCGTGTGTCGTGCGTCGTGCGTGTGTCGTGTGTGTCGTGTGTGTCGTGTGTGTCGTGTGTGTCGTGTGTGTCGTGTGTGTCGTGTGTGTCGTGTGTGTCGTGTGTGTCGTGTGTCGTGTGTCGTGTGTCGTGTGCCGTGTTCATCAGCAAAAGCTCGGTGATGCCCAGCGGGTAGGCCCACGTACGTGTGGGTGCCGTCCTTCATGAACTTGTCGGTGGCCCACTGGGTGCCGGGCGGCTTGCCCGTGGTCAGGTTGTACTGGCTCCAGCAATAGGGATACCCGTAGAACAGACCTGAGATCAAGTTCAACCAGCAACACACATTCAAACAATTCATTAATGAAACAAACCAATATATAAATAAAATATGTATAATAAATAAATAAATAGATGAATAAATACCAGGGAGCTCGGGGAAGAAGAGGTTGAGCTCCTCGGAGGGGTTGTTGGCGTGGACGTCGCCGCCAAGATCGGCCCTGAAGACGTTGTCGATGCCGTTCTCCACGCCCCACAGGCGGCCCTGCTTATCAAAGCTGGTGCGCGTCGGTGCTGTTAGCATTCATTCCCGAGAAGCCAAGGCCCTCTCGAGAGCGAGCGAGCGAGTGTGGAGAGCAGCCGCGGTACCGAAGGCCAACTTCGTTGCGGAGGCCGTCGGCGAATATCTCGCCCGCCGACCAGTTGAACCCGCCCTTGGGGATCGAGGTGATGTTGAAGCGGTGGATCCTCGCATGCTGGCGGAGTAGCGTAGCTTGTGGTGAGTCTTCGATTGCGACCAATGTAGGGCGCCACCAAATTGCACATTTGCGTGGTGTGGGCAGTGGTACGTCAGAATTGGGATCGACGTTGGAGCCGCTGCCGAGCTGCACGTAGAAGCGGCCCTTGGCGTCGAACACGATGGCACGGGTCACATGGTCGCAGCACGTCGGGATGCTGTTCACCACGACCTGTACCAGCCATGACCAGCCGTCGCGCCAGTCAGATGACAGGTGACAATCGAGAGCTCCAAACGCAACAACAGCAGCAAAAGTGTGTGTGTGTGTGTGCGTGCGTGTCGTTTCGTGTCGTGTGTGTGTGTGTGTGTGTGTGAGGCGCACCTCGGGAGTGCCCAGGTTCTGGCGCACGCCCGCGCGATAGGGCCACCTGTAGACGGTCGACGCACTGCTGGCGTACAGGTAAACTGCGTCCAACGTGTGTGTGTGTGTTAGTTTACCAACAAAAAAACTACAACATCACGGAGGTGCGCCGTACGCCCGTGGATCAGGACGGCGTGGTTGAGACCATCGGCCTTGGCCAACAGCGCCCTCTCGTTCTTGTCCGACACGCCATTGCCGTTGTCGTCCCACAGCACTGCGCAGACAAAAAGGGTCGAAGTGGTTGGGGTGAGGTCGGAAAAGAAAAGGAAAAGAAAAGGAAAAGAGAGCACGTGGTACCGGTGACCTGCTGGGAGTCCTGTTCGACCACGAGGAGGTCGTTGTTGGCAGCGCGCGCCATGCCGCGGGGGCTGTTCAGTCCCTGTGCCCACACGAACGGGCAAAACCTGACCAAGGGTGGTAATACCAAATAATTATAATGATCATTTTTACTGCTGGTGGTGCTGTGGGGTGACGTTGCGAGGTGAGTACCCTTCAGGCGTGACGGCATACGGCAGGCGGTTGGGGCAGGCCGCGTAGGCTGCAGGTGGGGCTGAAATCAATATTTGCAGATATATAGAGCAGTATTGCAGTGGTGCGGTGCGTACTCGAGGAAGCCAGCGCGAGTGCAAGCAAAGCGAGGGCGAAGAGGATGCGGCCGGAGCGAGCGGTGTCTCGCATGGTGTGTGGGTAGGTAGTTCTCCAGGGCACTGTACACGAGTACAGTGTCGGACCAGTGGCGCCTTCAGTTGGCCGGACTTTTTTCGCCGATAAATCGACTTTCTGGGGACAAGCGGAAGAAAGGTCATTGCCACGCCCTTTCGTCATTTTTTATTTATATATTTTTCAGGTGAATCAACTACGCCTACAGACCACACCATGAACCGAGCTCACTTCCAAGCCAGATCGCAGGGTACCAGGTAAAATTGTTTTTTATTGTGTCAAAAAGATGTGCTAATGTTCTGGGGGTTCAGGCGGCGGTGGTGAAGACTTCGTTGCTGACGCCGTTGACGGCCACGAAGACGCCCTTTGGGTTGCTCCTCACCCCGTCCACACCGTTGAAGCTGTCGGGGATGGTAGTCCACACGACCCACACCTTGGCGGTGGGGTCGTAGGCGCGGACCGAGCCGTCGTTGAGCGACACCGCCGCGCGCTCTTCGCCGTCGACCACGACCACGAACACGTTCGTCTGTACCAGGGCCTGCGGCGCGTCGGCGAAGCTGAACGTGGTCCAGACCTGGGAGTCGCTCGAGACGTGGACCGACAGCTGGTCCTGCCCCACCGCCACGAAGGTCTTGGCCACGTAGCGGACGGCGGCGATGACCGCGCCGGCCGGCCCGGCCTGCTTGCGCCACGTGTAGCCGCCGTTGGTGGACGACTGGAGGTCGCCAGAGCCGGTCAGCACCACAATCGCTCCGTTGCCGGCCACCACCTTCTGGGCCAGCTCGAGGCCCGACGCGATCGAAGACCAGCCAAGGTTGCCGCTGGTGCCATACAAGGTGAAGGCCGAGTAGGAGGTCCACCGGTTCCAGGTGTTGAAGAGCGCGAGCCACTCGCCGTTGTCCTGATTGGCGAAGGCGATCAGATCGGTTGCCTCCAAATCGTTCGACGGAACCTTCGGTCCACCCAAGACCCGCCAATTGACGAAGTCCTTGGAAGCGACCAGCTGCTGCGAATCGGTGGCCACCCAGGCCCCGAGGTGCTCGACGTAGGTGAGCTGGCTGAGGGACTTGGACGGGGTGACGACCTCGGACCACTCGACGCCGTCGGCGCTGCCGAGAATGGTCGACGGGTTGGTGAGGGTCTGCACGAAGAACGAGAGGCCGTTGAGCTCGTAGCCCGGCGGCGTGTCGACGAAGGTGCTGAACGGGGTGGTGATGCCCTCGTCGAGCGACTTGAACGTGTGCCCGTTGTCGTGGGACAACTGGATGAGGCCCGCCTTGCCGAGGTTGATGAACTGGCCGTTGGCAAAGTCAGGCACCGAGGCGGCGCTGATCAGCGTGTCGGTGGCGGGCTCCCACGACTGACCGTTGTCGAACGAGGCCACAGTGACGAAAGCAGGGACGGTGTTGTTATACAGCGATGCGAAGAACACGCCGTTGCCGAAGCTGAGCGGTCCGCCAAAGCCAGAAGTGGGGTAGCGCAGCGTGGCGTCCCACGTGAGGCCGTCGTCGGTCGAAGTCAGGAGCGCCTGTACAAGAAGCAGTTGAGATCAGGCAATAGCGAAAACGGAGAAACGAAAGAGCGAAAGCAAGGAAAAATGCGAAGAAAGAGCGAAGACGGGCAGGCAGCGAACCGTGTAGTCGGAGAAGCCGACGAGGGCAACGATGGTGGAAGAGCCGGCCTGGAGCTCGAGGACCTGGTTGATGAGGCCGGGGTAGGACTCCGTGATGTTGCGGTAGAGCGACCATGACTTGCCGTCGACCGAGCCGTAGAGAGCGCCCGTGCTCTGACCGTCCCTTCCATAGGCCACGAATTGGCCTGGTGGTGGCCCAGAGTTAACCAATCGCTCACTCAAACCCACATCTGACCAACGTCAGGAACAAGAGTGTAATCTTACCATTGACGAAAGAAACGCCGTTGATGTTGGACTTGTCGCTGGGAATCGCCTGCATAAGATATGGTAACATCAGCGCAGCTGAGCGAGATGGGTCGCTGGTGGGCTCTTGTGTACATTGTGGTAGGTCCAGGCAATCCCGTCCTTTGACACGGCCACCTCGCCTGACGTGTAGTCCATGCGTGGTCCGGCCACGTAGACGCCATTGCCGTAGATCACGTTGAACCGGTAGGTCATGAATGGCTGCTCATGCACGGTCCACTCCTTGCCTGTACAATTGATTGGTTGGTTTTACATGAGAAGAACTGTTGATTCGTCAATTCCAGAACTCCGCCACCATCCACCACGCACCGTCTTTGGAAACAAGCGTGGGGTTGGCAGCAGATGTGACGACGAAGCCGGCCTCAGGTCCGTAGGCGATGGACCAGGTCCCGATCAGAGTGCGCGCCTCGTAGGGCAGCTTGGCCACCTCCCACGACTGGAGGTCGGTCGAGGTGATGATGTTGATGGTGTTGCCGCCGACGGCTACATAGAGGCCCGCGCCGTACGCGATATCGGTCAGGTAGGACACGGTGGCGGTCGGGTTGGTCTTCCTCCACGTCACCGACGCAGCCGAAGCGCCGCTGGGTGGTGCCAGCCAGGCGACTAGCAGGAGAAGCAGGAGAGTTGAAACAAGCTTCATCTTCTGTTGGTGGCTAAAATGAAAGCTGAACTGGGTCTAACTTTGTGTGGAGGGCTATCGCCGAGAAAAAGGGAGCAGAAGGGGGCAGCTGCGGGTGCACCGGCCAATTGGAGATTTTACCTCACCGGGGATAAATGGCCCAATAGGAAAGGAACGCCACCTTAACTGGCCTTCCTCCTGTCCACACGCAAGCTCCTCCGACATTGTACAACACCCCAAGATCGCGCGTGTGCAGGGTGCTCGTGTTTGTCGCATCAGCAGACGAGTTCGGTAACATTGTTTTGTTTGTTTTAGGCAGCAGTGGTGAAGACTTCGTTGTTTCGGGCGTTGACGGCCACGAAGACGCCCTTCGGGTTGCTCCTCACTCCGTCCACGCCGTCGAAGCTGTTGGGGATGGTGGTCCACTCGGCCCACGCCTTGGCGGTGGGGTCGTACATGCGGATGGAGCCGTCGGTGAGCGACACCGCCGCGCGCTCTTCGCCATCGACCACGACAACGAACACGTTCGTCTGCACCAGGGCCTGCGGCGCGTCGGCGAAGCGGAAAGTGGTCCAGGTCTGGGAGTCGCTCGAGATGTAGACCGAACGCTGGTCCTGCCCCACTGCCACGAAGGCCTTGGCCACGTACTGGATGCTTGCGAGCTGACCGGCCGGCCCTGAGTGCTTGCGCCACGTGCTGCCGCCGTTGGTCGAGGACTGAAGGTCGCCATAGGTGGTCAGCAGCACAATCGCCCCATTGCCGGCCTCAACGTCCTGGGCCCTCTCCATGTCCGACGCCACCGTCGTCCACGCCGCAGACTGGGTGACGTTGCTGGAGCGATAGAGAGTGTAGACCGCTCCCCAGCGGTTCCAGAAGTTGAAGAGCGCGAGCCACGTGCCGTCATCCTGGTTTGCGAACGCGGTCAGGGCGATCGAGTCCCCATCGATCGGCGGGATGTTAGGCCCGCCCAGAGTCCGCCAATCGACCAGGTCCTTGGAGATCACCAGCTGCTGCGAGTCGGTGGCGACCCAGGCTCCGAGCTCAGAGTAGTAGGTGAGCTGATCGAGGCCCTTGGACAGCGTGACGACCTCGGACCACTCGACGCCGTCGGCACTGCCGAGAATGGTTGAAGGATTGTAGGTCTGCACAAAGAACGTAGAGGCCGTTGAGCTCGTAGCCTGGCGGCGTGTTGATGAAGGAGTAGAACGGGGTGGTGATGCCCTCGTCGAGCGACTTGAACGTGTGCCCGTTGTCGTGGGACACCTGGATGAGGCCCGACTTGAAGACGTTGACGAACTTGCCACGGACAAATTGGGGCACCGAGGCGTGGCTGATCAGCGTCTTGGGGGCAGGACCCCACGACCGGCCGTTGTCGAACGAGGCCACCGTGGTGAAGCTGTTGAATGTGCCGTTCCGCAGCGAGGCGAAGAAGACGCCGTTGCCGAAGCTGAGCGGTCCACCTAAGCCGGAATAGGGCGAGCGCAGCGTGGCCTCCCACGTGTGGCCGTCATCGATCGAAGTCAGAAGAGCCTGTAAGAAGCGGATAGGTCAGGTGAGAGCGAAAACGGAGACGAAAGAGAGGAGAAAGAGCGTAAGCGACAAAGAACGAAAGCGAACCGTGTAGTTGGAAAAGCCGACGAGGGCGACAAGGGTTGCCGAGGAGCCGGCCTGCAGGTCTATGACCTGGTAGATGAGGCCGGGGTAGGACTCCGTGATGTTGCGGTAGAGCGACCATGACTTAGCGTCGACCGAGCTGTAGAGCGCACCCGTGCTCTGGCCGTCACTGCCATAGGCCACAAATTGACCTGGTCATGACAGCCAACAACAAGACCCAGAATCACACCAATGCAACGTGATAAACAAGGTTGAGAACAAGAGTGCTGTCGCACCATTGACAAAAGAAACGCCGTGGATGCTGGACCGGTGCAGCAGGTCGTCGGGAATCACCTGCGGGGGTGGGGAGGTCGATGCGTAAGGGTACCATAACACGATGATGTGGCGAGAGTGCAAAAGGCAAAGTACATTGTGGTAGGTCCACGCGATGCCGTCCTTCGACACGGCCACCTTGCTCGGCGTGTAGTCGCGGGGTCCGGCCACGTAGACGCCATTGCCGTAGATCACATCGCGTCGGTAGGTCGAAGATGGCTGGTCGTGCATGGTCCACTCCATGACTAATGATTGGTTGCAATGAGGGGTCTGTTGAACAACGAAGGCACACGTCGATTGTGGCTGACGCACCGTCTTTGGAAACGAGCGTGGCCACGCTGGCGTCAGACGTGATTACGAAGCCGGCCTCGGGTCCATAGGCGATGGACCAGGTCCCTAAGTCTATGCGCGCCTCGTAGGGCAGCTTGGCCACCTCCCACGACTGGAGGTCAGTCGAAGTGATGATGGTGAGCCTGTTACCGCCGACGGCCACGTAGAGTCCAGCGCCATACGTGATATCGGTCAGATCCGCCACGGTGGCGGTCGGGTTGGACTTCGTCCATGCCACCGGGGTAGTCGAGGCAGCGCTGTTGGGTGCGGCAAGCCAGGCGACCAGGAGGAGAAGCAAGAGAGACGAAACGAGCCTCATCTCGTCTGCGTTTCTTCGTGGAGATAGAAACCAGCCCGTGTGCCGTGGCCGGGCAGCAAAAAAAAGGCTATCGGCGAGAGTTCCGGAAGGGGAGCTGTGCCACACCGGAAGCAATTGGGCCAATAGGAAATATAATGCACTGCCAGTGCCACCTTAACCTGAGAGTTCGCTTCAACAATTTGGAAAACGTTTCCAAAACCTTCGTCTTCCGCATAGAGCCGTTGCGGCGAAATAAAAGGTGCGTCGCTCCTTTTTTCCCCGGGCCAAAATTGCGAGTGGCGCACTTTTAGTGCCGTTCGTTTCTTTATTTCGATTGGCCGGGGCGTCGGGAACACAAGCAAAAAACAACCCCTGTGCAACCCCCCACTTCCCCAAATGGCCGCAAGACCAAGCGAGAGCGCAGGCAAGGCGCAGCACCGTTGTACGGCCTGCCGGGAGGCGCACACAGCCTGCGACAGGTCAGTCAGCTCCTCCTTCCTCCCCCGTAGCTTATCACACTCACTTTAGCTCCTTGCCCTGAGCTATGGCGCAGAGAGCAGCCGTGCGCGCGTTGCGTCAGAATTGGAAAGGCGGATGCTTGTCGACAACCGGCCGTGCTGAGGAAGAGGGGACGGCCGCGCAATGTGCCCACCCGAAGTGCTTCCCCGCTGCAGCCGGCGGCACCGGCTCCGCGCATCACCCAACCGCCGCCCGTCTCGATGCCACCCGACACCACCCCAGGTGTGCTGGCTTTGAATCTTGAGAAGACCACTCTCCGCCAATCTTGTTGTTGACGATGTGGCTTTTAGTGTGGGCAGATGATGATGATGATGACGGCGATGACGGTGATGAGGCTGACGCCGACCCAGAGGTGAGAAGCGACGAGGACCTCTGCACGCAGATCGAGAGGTCTCTAGAAGACTCGCTGGCCGAGGTATGAACCATATCATCCATCCAACCATTTTCTTTAGCGTGTTGATGAAGACACTCACAACATCAACAGTCTCAAGGGATGGGGCAACTGCTGGTTCTGCTGCTGGCGGAGCTGAACGAGGTGAAGCGTAGCAGCCGAGAGATCGGCAACACGGTCGAGAGCCTCAAGCGGAAGAGGGACCAGCTGGACCACAAGCTCGAGGTCATGCAGCGCACGCAGGCCTCACAACTGCGGCACCTCGCCCTGGCCCAGCAGCGGAGCATGCACCAGCTCGAATCCATGCTCGCCCAGCTCGCCCCAAGCCAGTTGACGCTCCTGCAAGACGGACCGATGCCCCATGCGCCACTGCCGATGCCACAGCCGATGCCACTGCCGATGCCGCCGCCCATGCTCACCTTTCCGCCGCCTCCACTGCCGTACTCCCAGGGCATGGGCTCGGTGGTCCGGCGCAACAACTCGTTCCCGGCTTCGGTCCTGCAAGTGCTGCCATTCCTCCCCAGCTACGACTTCAGCAAGGAGCCCTGCGTCATCGAGGACCTGGGGTACACGCACGACACACAATAAAACGCACGCCACACACTGACAACACACACACACACACACGAGGTGTCGCACACACACTGACATCACACCATCAGGCAGATGCTGGTGGTGGCTAGCCTGAACGAACCGGAATGCTTCGACGACATCGAACCATCGATGGTCTTCTACGCCTCTCCGTCTCTGTGTTCGCTGCTCGGGTACCAGCAGGGCGAGCTCATCGGCCGCAGCACGGCCGACATCTGCGAAGGCACGTTCGACGTCATGGTGAGCATCCTTGCTCACCTCCTGTGCGGCTCGCCGACGCCGGTCGGATCCCGGTACACGATCGAGGGCCGCTATCTCGCCAAAGCCCCTGGCCAACCGTTCAACGTGCGAAGCCGACACCAGACCCTCTACGGCCCGTCTGGCACGGTACCCATCGACCAGCCTGCTGGTGAAATGAGCGCACCATGACGCCTGTGCCGTTCTGTGTGTGCTGTGTTGTTGTGTGATCGATCGCAGGCGCAATGGATGCTCTCGGTGATCGAAGAGGTGCTGCCGCCGGACCCGACTCTCCCGCCAGCGGTGCCCTACAGCCATCTGCTCTCCGATCCGTACACGCGTCGCAGTCTTTGCTCAGCGGTTGAGGCTCGGCTAGGCCGCTCCTTCTCCCCATCATGACCTTCTCCTTCCCCCTGTCGTTCCTTTGTACAAACAGATGCCCCCTTTCACCTTGCACCAGCTTCACAAACATAACTACTATCAAATGCCCATTGTGGATAGTATTCTGTTTGTTGTGTTTCCATGCTCCCATGTGTGCTGTGGTTGTTGTTGTTGGGGTTTATAGTTGAGTAATGGGAATGCGTGTATTACTCAACTGATACCTCTCAGGTGTGTTTCCCTGCCCCAGGTTGCCCTGTGAATTGGGCATGACCAGTGTGCTTGCCATTGTCATCATCATGATCTCCACCATTACTGTAAGCCACTGCATTGTTGTAGTGGCCACCAGACTCCCCCACCCACTGCTTTTCTTGTGCTTTTTGTCTTGCTTCTTCCTCTTGTTCAAGTCAACCCATTCAGTTCTTGTGAAAAATTGGTCCAAAAACCTGGACCCTAAAACCAAGCGCTGATCACAAAGGCCTTCATGATTCCCAGAGGTGCCCTCTGCAATTCACGACCAAAAAAGAGCTCTTTTTAGTTTTTTTGGCCTAGGCGAAAAAGGCTTTTTAGCTATTTTTTGGCGCTAGGCGAAAAGAAAAACTGCGAAGAAAGGACAGAGAAAATTAGTCCTTTTGAGGTGTTTTGAGCGAATTACAGAGGGCA